ATCTTGGCAAAGGCTTGAAATCTTGAATGCCTCGAATGAAAATACTTATATAGAAGTCCATGTGACGCATTTTCACATGAGCAAAGTGAGGTGCTGCCTGGGTTATTTCCCACTTCAGCATCTGATTAAGGATGCTGTCTGCCTGACACCTCTCATTCATATCCCATTGTGTCATGTGTTCCATAAGCACAGAGTCTGTCATTTCTGCTCAGCCTCAGCCACAAATTCTACTATTAGTGTTCAAGCTATGTTTTCCAGTGGTGGTTCTGTTTATTTTTAGGTTAGGTTGTATATCAGAAAACTTGAAAATATAAATGCATTCATTGCAGGATTCCACCCTCCTCCAAATCCTCTCATGAACTACTACTTCCATCATTGCATTGAGTGTGTGTAGTTTCCTCTTACCTACAATTTGTTTTATTCCAAAATTATGAGGGTTTACTGTATAGTTAAGTGACAGCATAAAAAGTACTCAAAGAGTTTAGGGGGTTTTGATTTGGCCCTTTTAACAATCATCTTTATTTCTTGTACACTACTTATACATCATTTCTTGTAAACTACTTACTGCACACAGTATAAGAGATTGTAATCAAAAGTACATTTTGTGGATACAGTATATTTATTTATTATTATTATTTATTTATTTATTTATATTTTATTTTATTATTTTTTTTTTTGGGGGGGGGGACATATTAGCTTTTTCATTAACATAATAGGTATACCAGCTTTTAGAACATTTTATCTATAATGAGCATGTTTGTTGTTGGCTTGCAAACAATCAAATGCACAAAAACAAACAAATCAAAATTTTTCCCTTTTTTTAAACTACTGTACAGTATATGTTACACTGCTTAAGAAGTAAGAAATAATATTCTGACTAGAGATACCGTAGCCATATAAAAGGAACTGTATTGCCATATAGCATATATTTTATGTTGATTTATGAAATATAAGAGAAATTTACCCTCTAGAAATAACAAGTATGCTGTAATCAGAACCCAGTAGTATATAACTCATTAATAGTACAGCAGGACACCTATCACTGTAACATCATACAGAAAACAAATTACATCCCTCCTTATGTGATAGAAATAATTTCATCATTCATGCATTTTGAGTAACACGATCATGTTTGCTGTAAGACTGCTGCTATCAATGTGTTGTATACAGTATGTTAAAATTTGATATTTTATGTAGTTATCAACTTTGTATTTAAATTGATTAATAAATTATTATATTAAGGGAATGTGTATAGACCCAACTATGTTTATCATCTGCCAGGAGAGACTGAGACATGGTAAGAATGACAAATTTGGTGAAGAGTAGTTTTAGTGTTTGTGAATACTTTCATGTCTAATATGTGGAGTGTGAAGGAATTTTTATTAATGTATGTTTTTTATAATATTTTTTTGTAAATTTTGGGGGCATTTTTTTTAAATCTGGGCCCAAGCTGGGCCCAAGAGTAGTATAAAAGGTACTGTACTTTGCTTTATTTGTGATGTTAATATACATACACGGTGTTTCAGAAATACTGTACATTTCATAATTCTAGGGGTGTATTTCTGAGATATACATAAGGATAAATGACTCCATGACCAATAGTGTCAATACCCAACAGCTTAGGAGTTATGGGGTACATGGCCGCGAATCGCCATCCGCAAATAACATTTGCGGACTGGGGAGGGGGGGATTTTTTACATGTGTACAAAGAAATGTATATTCCCTTTATGTGTTTGCCCCTAGGACAATTATTTCTTTTACTTGTAGTATTGTATATGTGTGAAGACACACACATACAAATAAATAATAATTGGAAAATCTTTTCACAAAGAATCGGAAACAAATTTATTAAAAATGTGACAGTCTACCCTCTAGTCCGTGCTCTATTAAAAAAGTACTGTAATAGAGAACGGACTTGAGGGTAGACTCGACTCACATTGTTAATAAATTTCTTTCTGATTATTTGAGAGTATTTTCCAATTACTATTTATTTGTTTGTGTTTTGTTTGTGTGTTCACACACACACACACATATTTACAATACAGGCAAAGGAAATTACTGGCTCTATAACGATTGGCTCCCTGTCCCAGCCGCAAAATTGCCGACAACTTTGAAACTACCCACAGACATTCTTGGGTACATCCAGGGTGTCATCCGCGAATAACCGGGTGGGGTAATCCCTTTAAAAAAAAAAAAAAAAAAAAAGTAGACGTGAATGACATTTAGGTCAGGTGGTCGAGGTGGCCATGAAACAGTGCTGTCAAGCCCTATCCACCTGCCAGGATACCCAACATTTAGGAATTTCATTGGTACTAGAGAAAAGTGAGTTGGGGCACCATCATGCATTTTTCACAGTTGTTGACATATCCTGATGGACACATCCTCAAGCATCACTGGCAAAGTGTCCTCAAAAAAATGTGTGTCTTTGTTTTACCTGTCAGTCACTGGGGTAGCAGACATGGGTCAATAAGGTGGTCACCAATAATACCGGCCCAAACATTGATTGCTAATTGCACCTGATGAGACGTATGTGTCACTGGATGTGGATTATCAACAGACCCACTTACAGTACGTACTTTAAATAGGGTTTGATATTTTATGTATTATGTCTACAGTATAAACTTACTGCAGTACTCTCCAACCAATTTTGTGTTATAATTCTAAAACTCGGGGAGTATTGGCACTATATGGTCAATGTCAAGGAGTCATTTATCCTTATATTGTGTATGTCAGGAATACACCCTCCTAATTATGAAATCTATTTCTAAAACACCCTGTAGTAGATTTTGCATACTAACTGTGTGTACTATTTGAATTCTAATTTAAACTGTACTCAACAAATTTAGGAACAGGAAATAAGAGAATCATTAAAAATTAATGAAGAGAATAATTTTTTTACAAAGTAAAATACCATAGCGAAACTAGAAGTGAATTCTCACTTCAATCTTTCTCATTTGGACAAAGTTTTCTTAATAACAACAGTAATTGTGTATAGTTATGAAGCAAGTAAATTATACACCTGTCACCTTATTTAGAAATCAAATCACATGTCCTATGCCCATTCTAACAATGTTAAGTACAGCATTATGTAAACAATACCATAACCCATATATATTTTGTTTAGAAATTTATACTTCCTATATTCATTGTAAAACACTTGTACAATTATCAGATTGTGGTGATAAACCTAATAACCTTGCACAATGTAAACATGCACTGTACACAGGCACAATGTAGAATACCACATTATCAATATAAAGCATTATAAAACACGACGTACCCATCTATAGTACAGTACAGTGTTATGAACCACACTACCCATGTACAGTACAGTGTTATGAACCAAACTACTCATATACAGTTCATTGTAAATTTGTAATGAACCACAGTACCCATGTGTAGTAGAGGTAGCAACTGTAGTCACATCAATATTTTTAACAGTGCAGTAATTAGGTGAGGACCTCAACTGTTGAGAAAGATTATTAAATTCAACTTCAAGATTTACCGATACGAAAAAAAGGGAGGTAATCTGTTCTTGATCCTAAATTGTGTCCATGCATGGTTTGGCTAAGCATGATACTATGTGGTACAGTATACAGAAGGGGACTTACATGGTTATGGGATAAGAATTGATTCACAGTTCACTGATGTCAAAATGTTTGTATCAATTGTCTGTTTGATTGTTTTACTAGGGAGATAGAATTTTGCCTGCTAATTTGTCAACAAGACTTATAAGGAGTTAGTTGGTTATATTTGAACTTTGATGAAGAACTTTGATGAAGATAGTTTTATACAGTTAGTGTATGTTTATTTGGATGCTAATAGGACAAGCAGCATGTCATAGTATTTTGAAATTTTACTTGTTCGTATTCATAACTACAATACAATACCTGTACATAAATTGTTTTAGGGTTACTATTTAAAATTTTTGATAATATACAGTTTTGCAGTTATAAAGTATTGAGGTATTGTATGTGTACAAGAGGGTATTTTTACATTAATTTTATTACAGGTAGTCCCTGAGTATGAACAGGTTATGTTCCTGGACCCTGTAAGTGCAGGTGTATGTAAGTTGGGGACTGCTTAGTAGGTCAGCAAGAGAATAGGAAACAGTAATGAAAACTTTGATCAAAGGGAAAAAGAATACTAGCTTGGTAGCTCTGAAATTTTATTCCCATGAGCAATTTTTATATGAAAATATAGGAAATGTTTTAGTTGGTATAGTTATGAATTATCATTGCCAAGAACATTAGTACCGTTCCAGTTTGATGTTGGATTAACTTGTCTTTGTCTTTGAATCCATAATTTGTGTGTGATCCATACAGATTCATAGGTTATTTTTATTTTTCCAAAGCATTTCAGACTATTGAAGAGGCCATTATATTTTTGGTTAAGATGTGGAAATTACTGCTTTGTGATAGGCCTTCTAGATGTGAATAATTGTTAAAATGGTGCACTGTACTGGTGTTACTACATTATTGTTGCTTGCATCATACTGTATAGTGAATCATACATGGGAAATTGATTTTATAGGCTATGGAAATTTTATTTAATATTTTTTTTTTTACTAGTTTTGTCAGTTTGGATATTGAATTGAATGCTTTTCAGTTCTTTCACTGTAAGGCAGGGTACTAACTTCTTGCCAAGTCTTGGGTAGTACTGTACAGGATTAGGTCGAAGATTCTTAGAACTAGTTGAAGGTAGTTAAATTGATGGTCAATATTTGTTAACGTTGGGCAAGTTTTAGGCACAGTAATTACCATAAGAATACGTTGAGGTATAGTCAAGATAGTGTTCCTAAACCTGGAGCATCTCAAACTTGGTAATGTGGTTTGTCGATATCAACAGAATTTTAACACAAGATAAATCTAATCTCCATTAGGGAGATATTTGACAAGAGGATCACATTTAATGTACTTTTGAAGAAATTAGGTGAATGAAACAGATTTTATGCAATTTAAATGAATGAACAAAAGTTAGTAATGAACACAATTTTCTAGGGTGGTGGGGGGGACAAATGTATGCGGTGTAATCGCACTGTATATGCCATGGAGAGACTGGAAGTTGCAGGGCGTGTACTTCACAAGAACTGCTTCAAGTGCTGCAAGTGTAATACTACTCTTAGGTGAGTGTTATGTAATGTGTACAATGCAGAATTACTTTGAGTGCTGTAAATGTTACATGAAACCCTTTGTTAGTAACTGCTGTGTGTCATTGGCAGCTCGGTGTCAAGTGATTTTAGTTAATTTTACTGTTTTACAAAATTTGGCTCAAGTTGTAAATGGAAATCATTATTAGCTGTTAATAATATAATATTGTTTATGTATTTTGACAGTTTGAATGTAAACTGCTCAAGTTTTACATGATAATTTTATCATAAGAGCCACATTTGCCATCACTAATTTTAATGTTATTACAGTACCTTCATGAACATTATATTTTTCACATGGATACTCTATCTTTTATTTGTTGGGTAAATACTGTGTTTGGAGAAGACGTGCTTTTATTCGTTTTAAAACAAGGTCTGAAAAAAATGCATTAGCATTCCATATAAGCTATGCTACTATAATTTACTTAGCAACCCGACTGAAATGTTCATTTTTAAATTGAATATAATTTGTTCACTCATACATGTCTCAAAACCTAATGTGATAGGTGAATTTGAATGAACCACCCAAATTATTATTAAGTCAAAAACTATGTGAAAAAACCTATCTCCTAAACTAAGATTTGTTTTGTTACAAAATTTAATAGAAAACTACCTCAAAGTAAAATAGTAAAATTATCAAGTATAAAGAATTATAGTTTTGTTATTTAGGAGAAAACCATGACACCCTAGGTATTTTCGCACAAAAATGGTCACGTGGGAACGTGATGCCGAGTAGAAATGCCTTAAACACCCGAGAGAGCTGGATAACTCCAAACCTTGTAGATGTATCGAATACATTCATACTTTTTAGATGGTACAGTCTCGTTCAAGATTCTTCAAACACTGCTGGAGACAGCTGGCAACTCAAGGCTGTTTGTTTACTTTAGTAGGTAGTAAAAATTATGAATAAATGTAAAGGTGATCGGTGATTGGTTACTTAATTTCCCGTTACTTAATTTAATGGTTGGGCTTTCTTGTTTCGTATTATATTATACAACGTACTATAGTAAACAATTGACCTTGAGTTGTCAGCTGTCTCCAGCAGTGTTCAAAGAATCTTGAACGAGACTGTACAAAACCTTCAAACAACCAATTCTACATCTACAGTAGTTTATTTTTTTTGTGCATAGTCCTAGTAGAAGAATGATCACCAACTATGCTTCCGAAGTGATGATGGTATAAACAACACGAGCCCATCGGTTCCAGAAAGCACACAGTTAAAATAATGTATCCTTGTTATATTGTCTGGGTCGAATTTTAGATAATCTAATCCTGACTGAATATTGTTACTGGTGCTAATCTGCAAGGACTATTTAGTTGGGTTATTTGTTGTGGCCATAACATTTAGGGTAATGTAACAAATATCCATGTGGTATAACAATGAGATTTAGGACTACATTTGACATCCAGTAGAGGATAGTAACATGGTTAAATTCTATAATGGACCTTTACTTATTTGCTTATACAGTGAACCAGGGCCTTCCATTGAACCAATAAGCTATTCTCTTTTAATAATTATATAGAAAGCATAATTAATTTTTGGAGAATTTGATAGTAGTGTGGCAGTGGTGAAATTTATAGCTGTGGTAGAGTAGGGCCTCATCTTTTAACCTTAAGTATTTGTATGGGGTCGCAGTAATTTCACTAATAAATTAATTAGGCGTAAATCACTATTCCATGTGCGTTTTCTGACAGTATATATGTTTTTGGTCTATTGATGTGATTTTTTTTCCAGTATGAATACATTCTCCATAGGCGGTGACGACATGTACTGCACAACACATTACAAACAAGCTTTTACAGAAAAGGGAACTTATGATGTATTTACTCCTAATAAAGGCAAGTGGACACGAAAAATTGAAGCTACAAATTCCGAATCTCCAAAGAATCAAGAGTAATGGATCTTAACTTTTTAAAAATTATTTGTATCTTATGGAAATCACAGCCAGGCTGTTCTTGAAGTGGACTGTACATAACTTGTTCAGTTGAGGATATGGGGATGTAGCCTTTGAAGATTTTTAAGATCAGCCGTTGAGAGATTGGTGTTCCTCCTTTTGGTGACTCACATTATTTATTTGAAGAGTGACTTTCTCCCTTTCAATGGATTGACATACCCATGTCATCAAAGTTGTCTACAGTGTTGTAATACACCAACATAAATGAAGTGATCAACTCCGTTTTTCTACCCAGAACAAATGGTTACATTGCATAGCATTTCTGGATGTTCAGCTATTTTATCAGTAAAAGACTATGCTTTCACCCTCTGTATCCAGGCAGTCTGATAATTTTATTCCACTTTGTGGTGTAATATTTAGGGCCTTTAATCGTATTAGTGATGATAAATATGTACCTGGTGGTGATGACTGAATGGTCAAGTTGCCAGTGCTAGTTGACAGTGAATGACTTAATGCTGTATGATGTGCCAGTTGTTTGTCTTTCACTGGAGATGATTACTGAATCTAAGAATAATAGTAAGCTCCAACTTCTTGCAATTGTTTTTGCTTTGAATAGAAAACTGACCTTAAACTTCACATATGCCAAAGCATACCTGTCAAAGTTCCACCCCTCTGGATAATACATCCTTCATCCTCAACTGAAACTTGTTATTGTTCCTAATGCTTGTGTAAGAACAGTTACAGTCCACACCAGAACTTGGAGGTGAGTAACTCCATGTCCAGTCAGAAAGGCCTGTGCCACAAGTCCTGTCCAGGAATTTCCTCCTTATATAGGCACGGTTTACCCCCCCATTAGTGCCACCGGCAGATCTGAAAATGACCTCTAATTTCACTTTCAGGCTAAGAAGAAGTGATATCTCTTGGCACTTGTTCAGCAAGTATTCCAGAGAATGTCTGAATCAACGCTTCTCTTGTATAGCCTGACAATTAGTGTAAAGTATAATTTATGTTGCACTTAATGTGTAGCCCATTATAAATCATTTCATTTTACTGTGTGCTTGGTCACATCTGGTCACTTGATGCCACATATGAATTAGACTAGTCATAGCATTTTTTTCTTAACACAATGTAATGTAAGGTCTTGTGCATAGGCAGCTGCCACACCACAAAACTAACTAGAAACATCTTGCAATCCAGCATCACTGGATTCTTGCATGTTGTAAATGATGTGGAAGAAACTCCACTTCTTTAGAGATATATATAATGGTTCTCAAGAGTTTTGGGGATGGTATCAAGACTGTATTAAGTTTCACTGCCACCTGTGACCTGCCTGTAGGAAATATCATTGGCACTTGGTCCTTCTCAGATGGCACAAATATCATAAATCCTGTTATTATTTTTATTTTTATTTTTTTAAAGAGAATTTGCTTTTTGGAGTTATAAAGTATTTCTTTTATGATTTAATATCAAATCAGTTATGAAATTGGGAATTTTCTCTGAATGAAGGATACAGTAATCTCTCCCGAAGAAATCCTGTTTTTTGTCCTTTTTTCTACCTAATTTTAAAATGAAGCAGAGTTCAAATGTAAAACTCTCTCTGTATATATTGAGAATCTTTTACTGTATTCAGTATACATTTGTGCAGTTTTAAATTTTGTATTGTAGAATGTGAGATTATAATACAATTGATATTTGGTTATGCAATACTGATTAGTGGCTTATACGTACTCAGTTTGAAATGCCCATAAATTTTGTATGTTTTTCTGGACAAAATAATAATTGATTTTGTTTATACTGTATATTATTTTCAATTCTGCCTTGCAATTATGCATGTATAGAAATGTATAGAAAATGATACTGAACATGTTATCAAACAAGCAATAGTGGTTGCAGAAACTAGACAGATTTATATGAGTAATGAAAGGGCAATTTAGTTATATGAAGCATTAATACAGTTTTATTTACAATACCTACAGCTTCAGTTGACTAGCAAGAACTGTTGCATTTGATATTTATGGGTACGTATTGTAATTATATAAAAAAATTACATAATCGGGAAGAGTACTTTTCACTGCAGCCTAATGATTCATATTGTCACTTTAACTGACTCAGATGTGCAAAATAGTATTATGGTTATGTAGGATCTAGTAAACCTTATCATATCTTACAATTAATTATCACTATTTGTTAGGCAATGAAATGTACATAATTTTATTTTCATGTGAAGTCTTGAGGATATGTAGAAAGGCCCAAATTTAATGCTGTGTTGTCTTCTCTCACAGATCATATTATTTACTTGATGATGATAAAATTTTTTCAATCGGTTTGGCATGTACAGTATATAGACAGTGCAGGTATACAGGTCAGCATGGGTACAGTGGTACCTCAGTTAACGAGCACAATTTGTTCAAGAAGGTTGCTCGTTAACCAAAACCATTGTTTCAATGGGTTTTTGGGTAATTGGTTCCAGCTCACCGAAAATTGCCTAAAGTCAACAAAAAAGGTAGTAAAGTACACTTACTTTGAGGTGTGTATGCAGAAGGCTCCTGGATGAAGATGATGATGGGAATTAGAATGGGGGTGGAGGAGAAGGGAGAAGAGAAGGCATTGGAGTGGAAGAGAAGTCGCCCCATGGCAGCCATTTCACCCATAAAATTTTAGTTCACTTGGTGTAATTAAAGATTATTTTCTTTAAATCAACACTACACTGCATTATATATTGTCAATATGTAAAATAAATTTCAAAATGACCAATAATTTGACTGGAAACACAGAAAAAAAAGCATTTATGTTGAAGAGAGTCTGAAGCAAGATGTTACCTCCACTGAAAAGACAGAGACTGACGCCTGTATGGTGTGTTGACAGGCTGTTTGGCATGCTAAAAACTAGTTTCCCTGTACTTAAATTATGTTAAATAATTGTTAAAATGACTAAAAATTTTACTATAAGACTTAAAATTATTGAATATTACAAACCTCTTGATATTTACTAAAACAGTAAGGAATTTAAGCCCTTGAACCGATTACTGTATTGGCGGACTAATATGACAGCTAGTGTGCAAGCGAAAACATGTGGAGGGGCGCGTGTAAGGAATTCGTTAATCGAGGGAATGCTCGTTAACCGAAGTTAAGAATCTTATGGAAGGTACGGTAATTCGTTAACCGAGGCGCTCGTTAACCGAGGGATCACTGTATAAACAACACAAGTATACAGTTCAGCATTTGTATAGACAACACAGGTATACGGTATACGTAGACTGTGGAGGTAAACAGTTTCCAAAGTACCGAGACAGTGCAGTTATACAACAATAGTAAGCAGTGAGGCAATTTGACCAAGGGTAGCCAAAAAGCCATCAGATACTTATTTCCAGTTGGGTCCTTCATTTAAATTTATTTTTCCTGTATTCCTTTTATCAGCTTTATATTGTCTATGGTCTTTAAACCTTCATGACTTGTCTCTTGATATATGATAAGTTTATAACTTTGTACACAATTAAATTTGTGCGCCTTAAAACGTACAGTACACACTCGTACATTTCATCAGTCATATTTACTTATGAGTTCAGAATTTGCATCTCATAACTTCATTTCTCTATTAAAAAAAATTATAATTTTTTATTATGTATATAGAAGAACAAAAAGATCTCTTTTTTGGTGTGTGCATTTTCTAAGGTAAAATGAGGAGTTTGATTAATTCCAGAAGTGCAGACACAGTAACCTTGCATTGCTCTGTTTCCCTCTTCTATCATCAGCTTCTAATGTTCTCTAGGCACAGAGAGGCAGGCTGCTCTTATTGTTTACTCCATCTTAATACTCTGTTTATAATGAGTGTTGAACACTATAGTGTACAGCTATTTGAGACAGTTTTGTTCGTTAATTCATTAAAGATGCCACAAGTCACCCATTCTGTGTTGAGCAGTTTTAACCCTGGTTTCAAGAACTGTCTCTCCATCATCACTGTTATTATCATTATCACTGAACTCTGGTGTTACATATAGATCGTCTCACTATCATCACTTGCATCAGCATAATTATCAACCCAGATTTGATTTTTATTATCAATCAATCAATATGGAGAACTGTTTGTCAGTTCAAAACACATTTCTTCACAACTTGAGCCATTGTGGACAACTGGGACATAATGGGAGTGCAACATATACAGTAGTCATTAAATTAACAAAGACAGCAGTACCAACCAAGAATACAAATATATTTTATGGGTCAAAATCTTTAAACATTTTCTTGTGAGATTAGAGACATGTTGGTATTACCATTGAGGGCTTGCCATTACTTGCTGAGTATACTGGGTTCTAGCACTAAATAATAACATAAGAATGGAGGAAACTGCAGCGGGCCTATTGGCCCATACTGGGCAGTCCCATTAACTTTGTATGCTATTAATTTTTCTTTTTACATTTTTATGTCAGAAACAAGAGCAAACATAAGCTATCCTTTCATTCACTCTTTCATTCCTTTTATATTGTATTGACAAAGTATTCAGCTATGAGCAAACTATAGTACCTGTACTTGTGAAAAATTCTTTTTATATCAAGAAGTAGAGCACACTATTCTTCCACTAATTTGCATATCTTCTCCACCTCATGATCAGAAATATACATAAAATTTACATAAGAGTGAAATTTAATAGCTGTAATAGACTTTTCACTTGGTGTATTATGAGGAACATCATAGCTATGACTTGCCTGTCTCTCATTCTCTTCTCAGAATATGAATGTGTTTAATATCTAGTACCAGAAGTCTTGGAAATCTCTACAAAGATTATAATATTCTCATGAATTTATTTGTGAGCATTATATATGGTATGTCACCTAGATAATTCAAGTTCTAATATGAATACAAATGACTTGAAAATATCTCATTCCCTAAACCTATGCAGGGAAAAGTACTGTACAGTACTTTGTATTATGTATAAATAAAATAAAGAAAATTAGGAAAATGTAATTCCTGTAATTGCTATAAACTCGGATCATAATACTGCATTCCTAATTTTAATAATGTGATTTCAAATTCAATTTTAATTTCATTAAAAAAATTATCATTGTGAGGAAGTGTTTGTTTTCAATGTACAGTATAAATGATACTGCTTTATTGTGGTATATGCTCATTACTGTATTATTAATAGATTTAGGAAGAATACTCTTGTAAATTACAGTACTGTACAGTGTACATGTAGGCATGGCTTGCCCCATGATTTTGTTCAACCCAAGAAGCTGCTTTACACAAATTGAACTGATTTCCTCTTAAGTTTTTATTTTAATGGAAACCCTCACATCACTATTCTCATGTGGTGTGAGCCAAATAAAATAGTGAAAGTTGCATCCAGTAGTGGAGGGGTTAAGTGTAACCAATGCTTGATTGTAGTAATGTTTTGTATATAGTCTGGCTATTCCTGCAACTATTAATATTTAGATTTATTTAATTTTCCTTATAATTCCAGAACTGATTTTCTGTTTCAGAACCACAGTGAGTATTCTTAAGCAAATACAGTACATAGTCACAAATTGAAAACAGCGGCACAAGTTACTCGTGCTGATTACTGTACAGTATAGTACAGTATTTTCTTTTTTTCCCTCCACCAGAGTCCCTAAGTTTATTTATTTCATAGGTTTAGAGCTGTTAAACCTGTTCTAATTTCTATTTTACATTATTTTTAATTATCATTTTAAATATAGTCTTTTACCTTAACCTCTTCAATAATCCTCAGGGTTTAAATTTTTTGAAAATCATACTCCACCCAAATTTCTCAACATGCATCTATCTTGCACTATGCTCATTTATTCCAGTCATTAAGTCTCTTATAATTGACCAACTGTCCATTTGATTTCCATCATACTTTTGATATTAGAAAAAGCTTTAAGACTTTCTGCATGGGTCCCTCTAACACCCTTACTTTTATTCAGATTCATGTGTTTGGTCCCCCTTATACTTAAAAGATCTTCACTGTAGTTTAGTCTACAGTAGATACTGTACTACCACACTGCTGAAATACACCATATACTGTACTGACAGTATCATTCCCAGCTTATAATACAACACAAATTTGAGCTTTTGTATCATTTGTGTAAACTATTATATTTAAGACATACTGATAATGCCTCTCATGTTTAAAATTAGGTCATGAATTTAATGCATCATTTAGTTATTCACTTCCCCCAACACTATGTCTACCTAGGTCACTATTAACTGCTAAATTGCTTTCACTAGACACAGCATTTGCTTAAAGTACCTGGGGGTCCCCGGGTTATGAACAGGTTCCGTTCCTATAACGTTCGTAAGTCGGATTTGTACATAAAACGGAACACATGCTATGTGCATACCGCACTTACAGAACAATTTTTAAAATCACTCTAAGCCCTTATATACATCTAAAATCACTTAACTTTAGACAAAAAAAAAAGAAATAGAATGATAAAATACAGTAAATGAAAGTAAAAAAAAATAGTCATCAGGTGTATAATATACATTGGACCCTCGATTAACAAACACAATTGGTTCCACAGAGTCGGTTGTTAACCGAAAATTTTGTTAACTGAATCTATTATTTCAATGGGATATTGGGTAATTGGTTCCAACTCACAGAAAAAGTATACATACAAAGTACTGTACTGTATACCAGTAATAGAATTAACAAAACATTAAATATAAACTAAACTCAGTACTGTACAGTATACTGTACAATAATAAATAAAAAACAATAGAATACCTGTACTGCATTTTAACTTACTTTGAAGTGTGTATGTTGTATTCCCGGCAGCTTTGTTTACATATCAAA